ATGCACTTGGCTGGCTAGCTGGCTGGCTAACTAGCTAGCTGCTCAGGTAATATAGGCGCTGTTTATCAACTCACCCTCATGTCGGGACATCCTACAAACAGCGACACAGTCCCTCTTCGGGCTCCCCAGCGCGCTTAACGGGAAACAATACAGTTTTGAGATACTAAACTGAAATATTCTTCACCCTCGCTCCTTTTTCTAGCAAGATGGATCCCCCAGCAGATTTCAGTTTGTTCTGCTTCCCCTCCCAGTATGTCATTTTCTTTAATGTTGCTGGTGAACACCAGGCGTCGCTCTCCTACTTCAAAACCTATCGACTCTTGCTGTTTGTGATGGAACTTTCATGCCCTTTTTCTTACCTCGCAGGACTCTCGCTCTCGGTCAGCGAGAAACTCTCCTCCAACAGTTACGGACTCATTCAGATTCCTTTAAGTAAGTTAAAGTAGCAGTAAGACAATTTGAAATTCTCAGTTGAAGCCTAGGGGCCCCAGAATATAACTACAGTGTAAAAGGAAACTTTTAGGTGCTTCTTTCCCAGCTTTTTTTAAGGCTGTATTGCCTAAAACCAATCCACTTTTTTAGGAAGATCAGTTAAAATAAAAATAGTAAAAAAAAATTCTGTTCTTTTTTTATGCATCCTATTACAAAGTGACACTGACAAAAGTCTTTTTATTGCAGCCAAACTATCTAATTAACTGTTCAGTAAACTGATTAATTAACTGATTCAACCAGTAAAGCACCCAAATTGTTTTTTATCTGATCAGTAGTCCAAAACCGAAGAATATGTATTTTCAAATGAGAGAGTGAGAGATACATTGGCTCCACTGATGTGCATAATGCAGCGATATCTACATTTAATCAAAAATGTTACATTCATGTTAAATATTATCTGAAGAAAAGCAAAAAAAAAAAGATGTTTAAGAACTTCTTCATAAAAATTCTTTATTTTTGTACATATGATTTGATTCATTTCTGTGCAGATGAGGACATATACAATTTGAAAAACCAGTGCATTACAATGAAGACTTCACAGCAGTGTAGAAGGCTGGGGTGGAGCTCACTCTTTCGCAGAAATTAATAGAGCATGAGATCTGAGAAAATGTTCCTCGGTCATCTCAAGCAGACAAAAAGAGACTCAGGTCTCCACCCTCATGCATAAGCCTGATATAGCCATACAATCTTAAAAAATGACAGTTTAATAAAATGACAGTTACACATCCTGTACATACAATTTATTCCATGTGCTTCATGTCAACAGAGGAAAATGAACTCTGAGGAGCACTGAAATATTCAAATGCTCTTCTTCTTGCTGTCTTTCCACTGCTTTATTGTATGACAATGAGGGGAAAAGAGAACAGGCAGAAACTCAGCCTCCCCATTATACAATATAATCTCTTAACGTAATGTGTAGTTGTGCAGATTCTGGAAACAAAGACAAGAGAGAAAGCCTGAATTATAATTGTGTAAGGTACTGTGTACAGTACCACATATGGCGTGACAATGAGCCTACAGTATGCTATGTGTACAAACCATCTACCAATGAATCCCATTTACTACCTGGTAACTGGGAAGACTGCTGGTGAATGGTGACATGTGGATTAAAATATCCCCTATATTTTGCTAATTAAAATCATATTACCCTAGAGTAATGTCCCATCTCAATCATATTACAAGCTTTGCATTCAAAAACACAATCATTCAACAGGTCTTAAACCAAATTCGTGGAAACAAACCCTCATCATGTATATTTTGAGTGCAGAATAATTGTATTTTCATTTTCTCACCAAAAAAATAACAATATTTACATATTTGCATCAGTTTTGATTTTGTGAGGCCAGATCATTTTCTTATGTGATAAATGTTCATGTCATCATTCATGATACTTGTAGCACCTGAGCAAAATCATGTTCTCTGACCGCTCATCACACAACCACACATACAAAAAGACAAGATTTGTGGATAACATCTCTTAAATTATACGAATCAAAGCAAACACACTTATGTACATTTTTAAGCTCTACACACATTTACAGTACAATTAAAGGTTTGGATTTTTGAAAGCTTTGTATATCTCTCAGTAACCAGATTTTTGGTCTTTAAATTGGTTAACTAGGCTTAAAAGTATTTAAAAAAAATCAAAGAATACAGGTTACGCCTTTGTGTAGTAAAGCTCTTGTATTCAGGTCAGTGCCTTAGCCAACTAACAATGTGCCATGTTATATTGCTAAAAATCTGCAAAAATTCCATACCAAACCAAAATGCTATAAATTGCTAAAAGGTACAGTGTTTTATGAAACGAATCAAACACATAAGCTTTAACATAAGAGTCTATGCTATCAGACACACTGCTACAACACATATACAGTTCACATATTGTCTCGGAAAGGAACAGATCTTTGCATATTGTTGCTCTAATGAAAGTATGTGAGATGGCTTAGGTGACTTTGGAGCTTCATACAAAAAAACCTGAGTGTTTTTTTCCTTTAAAACTAGAGTGAAGCTATTGTAGCTCGGATGGTTTTATAAAACTGCTATATGTAACATGAATATATGCGACATTGCCAAAGGTGCCTGGAGTAAGCGATGTCTTCCTCCTCTTCTGTGGTTTCTGTTCACGAACGCTGATGTCTGCAAGAAAGAAGCTCACCAAGAACAAATAATGTTTGCAAATACATCTTAGCATGTACAAAATTAACAGGAAGTGTCTATTTGAGCACTTTCTGTATGCAGACCCTCTGAAGAGTCCCTGTGTTTTAACCTGCTGCTAAAAGCATCAAAGGGTTTGGAAGCATTTTGCAAACTTTATTTGGCCCAGGCCTGAGTAGGAAATGGTGAACAGTGATTCCAGGTATTCACCGTGTTGTCACACTGAGGTGTCTGTGGGTCATATGGCATCTCCGTCTGTCTGACTATGCATTTAAAAAGTCACTCTGTGCGAGCCGGTGGTTCTGGAAGCAGTCGGTCACAGCGCTGGCTGTCTGGATATCCGGATATCTCAGTCCATTATTTCCTCCTTTGTGTAGTCTCTGGATTTTCTCTTGAAGAAGCCCATCTAGAGGAGCGTAAAACCCAGTTACAAAGCTACCTACTACTGTAATGGTAATACTGATGGAAATATTCACCTACCATATTAAAGGAATAATTCAACATTTTGGGAAATATAATTATTTACTTTGCTGTGAAGAATTAGATGAGATCAATACCCCTCTCATATCTGTGCTAAATATGAAGCCAGGAGATGGTTAAATTATCTTAGCACTAAGCGTGGAAGCAAGGAAACAGCTAGCTACACGCTTTTATATATTACCAGGGTTATAAAAGAACTTACCAGATTGACCTTATCAAGTATCCTACTTTCCTCCTACTATCTGCTTTAGCAGCAATAAGTCATTTTATGTTCATCAAATATACACAAGTTTGTTCACACACAAAAGCAAAACGTATATTCTCAGCCTTATTTAATTTAATCATTATTTAATAATTGGAAAATGTTTCTATTGTTTCTTATTCTGTTCTACCTATGTGATTATATTTCACTCAGTGGAGTATAAAGTTTTCCTGTCACTATAACTAAATTTACCAAATGTTCACATGGACGCAGTCATAGCCGGGTAGGAAAACCCAGAGTTAACAGGCTGATGACCAGCTCTGTGCTATGGCCAATGTTAGGCTCAGTGAAGACAGATAACCTCGATTAAGTTGAACATGGTACAGGTACCCGGGTTCTGCAGTTTATGCAGAGCAGAGCTAACAATCTTCTGGCCCTAGATTCCCGTTTCACTGACAGATACCAGAGGGTATTGATTCTCTCATCCCAATCTCATTAAGAAAACAAATTAGTGTTAAGGAAATATTACCTTCCAAAGAGCGAAAATGACGAGAGCTAAGATCAGCAGTCCTATCAAGATGCTGATTATGATGACCCAGATAGGGATTCCTCCTAAGGACTCCTTAGAAACCTGGATCTTTACCTTGAGCAGCACACACATACATACAGTACATGGTCAATGTACACATACTGTACATGCAAACACACACAAGCATTTAATCACAATACCAACATTTCATGACTTACAACTCTGGCCCTGTCACTGGTGCTCAGTTCAAATAGGTTTGCGTTTTTGATCCTCAGAGTCCCATTCACCAACATGTGCAGTGTGGAAAACTCTCCCTGCAAGAGAAATCTCCTTTTGAATGTTTGCTTTCCTGTCCATCCATCAGTCCAGCAGCTGTCAGTCATGCCACTTTACTCTCTGGTCATCTATAATTTATCCCATTTGATGACAAACCAAATGACAGGAGGAGGCAAGCCAAATGAAAGTGATTCACTTTTCACTTTAAACCAACCTTAATGAACGTAGGTTTCCACACTCTGAATGTAACGTTGACCTGACTGATCTTAGCCTCAGGGAGGGAGCAGGTAAATGACGCACAGTTAGTCTTCTCACAGCTCTGTAAAACAAATAAAACAACACACAAGGTGGCTCAAAAACGAAGATTTACTGCCTTTTAAAATGTGATAAATCTGATAATGAACCACAAAAGAATCATGTTCACAGTTCAGTAGTTAAGAAAAACCTTCAGGGAGGAACTTTAGAAAAAATACATTGTTTCAGTCAGGTAGATTGATTCTAATAGTGATCATATCTCTTTATAAAATTAGCCTAAATAACTAAAATAAGACTAGCTTAACAGGTTGTTTAAATGAAGCAACGATCACATCTGCAGTATTTAGAAAATAAACCTACGTTACTCACCAGCAGGAAGACACTGAGAGTTTCTTTCTCTGGACTAGGTTTTACGGTGTCTGGGTTAATATTCAGAGGGTTGATCAAACGCGCAGCGTCACATTTCACCTGCAGAGAAGAAACAGGCAGATAAGAAGGTGACTCTCTGTAAATACACTTGAATATCTACATGTGTGTGTTTACTTACCTGTGGACTGGTGGTGACATGTGTGAGGTAGAGTAAGTTGTTCTTCCGAGGAGACAGATGAGGATATATCACCGTAAGTTCAAGGGGTGGAGTCACTATTTCACCTAATTTCTCCACCTGAAGAGAGGTGAGATGGAGAGGAACAGGGGCCTTGACTTTACTGATATACTGCATCATATCTGGGTTACTAAACATACAGCGTCTACATGCAGTTGTGTGCAAAGTTTATTTTAGGAAATCATCAGATTTGATCTCTACCGTGTAGCTGATGTTGACCTCCTCTCCAATCATCCTGGTGTCATTGAACGCACTGGCAAACTGTTCACCCTCTTTTACCACAATGTGTTCATCCACAGGCCGCCTAGATGGTGAAAAGACCAAACTTGATTTTTCACTCTTCCACGAGTTTAAAAACGTGGTGTGGACATTGAATGAAGTGATCTTAGCAGACCTCTGTCGCGTGCTCCTCATCTCTGCTTGGCAATACATTAGCCACTAACACACTGAGCTGTCTGCAAGTTGCATTGTGCATACCAGAAGAAGAATGTATGTAATAAAAAATACAATATCTCTGGTTTTGCTACTTGGATTTTGAACCTTTTTTTTTTAAAATTCATGCTGTTTGGATATGGAAGATTAAATCGTCAGATTCAAGTAAGGGTGGGGGATGCCAATATAGAAAGAGTTTACGAAACAAAATTTCTAGGCATAAATATTGATGATAAAATCTGTTGGAAACCTCATATTAAATATATACATAATAAATTGGCTAAAAGTATATCTATATTGGCAAGAGTTAAAAATATTGTGGATCAGAAGTCACTCCATACTCTTTACTGTTCTATGTTTGTACCTTATTTGGACTACTGTGTTGAGTGTTGGGGAAATACATACAAAAGCGCATTATGCTCATTATTTAAACTACAGAAAAGGGCCATTAGAATTGTTCATGGACTTGGTTATAGGGATCATACGAATTCATCATTTGCACATTCAGGATTTTTTAAATTTTTTGATTTAGTAAAATACAAATCTGCTGTATTTATGTATAAAGTCAGATATAATTTGGTGCCAAGTGGTATTCGGGGTCTGTTTGGTGATCGAGAGGGTGGTTATGGATTGAGGGGCCACTTAAATTTAAAAACTCAGGCCATACGTACAACTAGGAAAAGTTTTTGTATATCTGTGAGTGGTGTAAAATTATGGAATAGATTGGGTGATGATTTAAAACAATGTACAAGTGTAAAACAATTTAAGAATAAATATAAAAAGGCCTGCATAGCTGGGTATCGGATACAGGAAGTGTAATGTTCTTATTAAGTTATTATCGGTGTATTTATGGGTGGGATATGAATAATTTATTGTTTATCATTTGTTTGCTAATTATGTAATTGTGATTTGTGATTAGAAGGAATGTAGTAATTTGGTGGTTGCGGGAATTTAACCAGTGTAGTTGTTCAACGCTGATAGAAAGGATGACTATTAGGTGCAAAATATTTAGTTAAATATTTGGGTTGTGTCAACCATAGTTTGGATCACTATTTGGTTGTATATGGTAATTGGTTTGGTTGTTTTGTGTTACATGTTGATTTTCTTTTTTTTTTTTTTCTTTGTTTTTTTACATGCTAGGAATTAATTAATTAAAAAAAAAAAAAGTCCACTATGAAACCCAGGAGTACAATGCTAAACCTGTGGAGTAGGCATGTAAGTTGCTCCTAACGACTTTATTAGCTGTTCTTTAATTGTGTGTTTAGCCACTCGAGGGCAGCACAAGAAGGTGTAACAAAATACTGACATGCTGTGTTACCTTACAAAGTTGATATGGCAACTGGCAAACTGCCTATTGTATTGTCCCAGACCAACGTTATCATTTACTATCATTAATTTCATGTTCCAGACCACCTCACAAATATTAAGTCCAATACTCACTTTCCTTTTAGCTTTGTTTTGGGTCTCTACAAACTGCCATAGCTGCTAAATGCTGTGTTCACTAGACAGTAATTAACTGTCTATCTGCTATTTCGTGGTGAACAGGTTGTGTACAGTGGTTTAAACAGCTGCCTCCTATACACACACAAACACACATATCTTTCTTATCCAGGTGCTGAGTCCACAAAATGCTGAAGCAATGTGAAGCACCAACTGGATCCACAGCTACTCACACTGAGAATATGATCCCAGCCTCATATTTCACAGGGATGGAGATCTGCACTGTGTTGTCATTCAGGGTAGAAGCCAGCTCTTCACTGTCACTGCGGGAAATTAAAAAAAACATATACTTCTCCAATGCAAAACATTTAATATTAATGACAAAACTCTGTTATTTTTGCACTTCATTAATCACAAACAGAAACAAAATCATTTTAAGTGAAACAGCTTCAGATGGAAATAATTGATCCTCTGCTGATTCTCTCACCTTGTAGCCGTCACATTGATCTGAATCACCTCTTGAATATGTTCGGGATTCACCTCAAATTTCACTTTGAAATCTTCCTGCAGATGTTAGAACATCACATATTTACTACTCTACTTAGCAGTAAAGACAGAAAATACCAAATATACCGTACAGGTAGTATGTGGTCTGCACCCTGCACAGGAGAGATGAATGCTAAAACTAACCTCAACGTTGCTTCCGAGGAATGGGTATCCAACAGCACACTCCACTTTTGTATGATTTAGAGTGCATCCCATTTCCGGCTAATAAAACAAACAAAAAAAACCCCCATACATTATCACACTCACACAACAATTCATACAGACTATAATGATGTGGAGACACACTAGAAATCTCACCTCTACTTTAACGTAGTTGATATTTGGCGTGAAGCTGAGGACAACTTTGGTGTTGTATGCGTTGTCTTTGCTGTTTCTAACGTTGATGTTCACATCGATCTTGTCTTTGTTTGCCTTGATCACCATGCTGGAGAAGTAAATGAGAAGTGCCAGTGTGTTTAGTTGTAATGTAGGTATCTGCCCACAAGGGAGCAGTCGTGTGCTGGAAGGATTCGAAGCTAATAAGGTCAAACTGCTGTGCTCTGAGTGACACTATAATTCATGTTATATGTTACATAAAGAACTTGAATGTGAAAAAATGTATACTTTAAATAAAATAATGTTAAAAATTGCATTAGCATTTTTTCAAGCCTATCTTAAAACAATACTTACATGCCTATATGTTCAATAAAAGCTCCACTGTTTGCTGCAGTTGTTCCTCCTGCCCATACTGGCTTTGAGGAGATCTCTTGTTACTGTGATTCCAGTGTAAGTGATGGGACACATAATCCACAGTCCTTTTTGGGTGCAAAAATACATTTCAAAGTTCAGCTAACACTAATTAAATCTTCAACAGTTTAATATCTACTGAAGTCACTATGTGTTTGGTATGAAACTCCCTCTTTGTGGACGACCACACAAGGACTAACACCATCCATGACAGCATAAAAAGGGAATTTTATACATAAAATATTGTAACTTTGGAAGACACCAAGCTGGTCTGTCAAACTCTGGAGCCTCTATGGGCATGAGGAACAATTACAACAACCAATAATCAGTAAGTTTCAATGTACCTGTGGCCATTGTTTTAGGATAGACTTGAAATTTGTGAACGTATCCTTTAATGCTAATATCACTTACCTTTTTACACTAGGCTCTGCTTTGAGAGAGAGGTCAGCAATGCACTTCTCATCACTCCCACAGTCCACTAAAGGAATCTATCAGATACAAACATACACCTTTCAAGAAGAACTGAAGTAAAACAGTAAAGTCCCCCTCCACTTAGAAACGATGTTGCTCAGTGTTACTTCATTTGGAAGTTTGAGCTTTAGTGCAGAATGATGTACAGTATGCACCAAGTTTGACACTAGAAGGCTGTTTTCACATTCACTAGCATTTGCTAAAAGTGGAACCTTTCTCTGTGCGCTCCTTAATTTAGTTTACAATAAGAGTTTGTGACAACAAACTAGTGACATCAAAGATTCAGATGGCTGTAATTTCCTTTCTCCTTTTCCCCCAGTTGTATTTATTCCCATTCTCAGTACCCTCCCAGGAATGATGAGACACTGGAATATCATGTGCAGCACAATATCCAAAAAACCCCCAGCAACTTCCGGTTGATGACCTCCCCTTTCTGTGTGTGTCACTTCTCTTCCTTTCACTAACAATAACAGGAGAGGTCCTTCCTTGCAGCGTGCATTGCTGCAGACAGTCTCTGACACTGAGGGCGTCAGGATGCATTAAGACTTGTAAACACCTCCCTTATGGTCCTGTGTCTAGGAGAGAAGGGATGTGGTGCAGAGCTGGAAAGTAACCAAGTACATTTACTCATGTACTATACTTAAGTACAATTTTGAGGTATCTGTACTTTATTTGAGTATTTTCATTTTGTGCTACTTCATACTGTGACTTCACTACATTTCAGAAAAAAATATTATACTTTGTTCTGAATATTACTAGTTACTTTTCAGAAAGAGATAAATAAAAGAAAACAGTATAAACAGAAGCTGTATTGATCCTTAGTGTAAAATTCAGAAGCTACCCGGCAGTAATTTAAATTATAAGCATATAAGATACTTAAAATTAGCTCCACCTTTATCACCTTCAGCATTAAATGTGAGGTACACAACAACACAACAGTAATCATAATCCAATAATATTATCTAAAATTAAACGGTAAACGGTTCCATTTTACATAATGAGTACTTTTGCTACTTTAAGTATATTTTCTGCTACTTTTGTACTTTTACTGAAGTAATATTTTGAATGTAAGACTGTAATAATCTGGGTACTTCTTCCACCACTAATGTGGTGTTGCTAGTACTACTGTGTATTTCACACACCCAGGCTTTGTTGGCAGTCTTTGCTATGTGTTGAAGTTGAATTCTCATGTGCTATCTCTCCTCTTTATCTGGAGACATCACTCATTGCAACAGTTATCTGCAAACCCTCTTGTTAGAAGAAATATGCATGTGGGAGTGTGAGAAGTCCTGACTGCTGGTGTTGAAACACTAATACAGACTCGAAGAAACACTGAAGGATCACAGTCAGCTGTTGCAAATGTTCTGTAACAGCAGCAAGTTTGGGGCCAGACAGGAAAACCCCACTTCTCACTCATGGATTTTAAAGTCAGACAGATGGAGGATGTTTAGGACGGTATTCAAATCCTTCCCGTCTGTGACTCTAAATGTTCTGCTTACTGTTATTTGGCGGTTAATAATGACAACTCTTGTAAGTGATACAAAGTGATCTTACTGTCTTATTGATGGATTTGGGAAGGCTTTCGTCCAGGACAGGGCCTATGTCCTCATCAGCTAGTCCAAACTCCAAAGACACCATGAGAGGGTCTCGGAAGTCCAGGCGGGCCTGTTGAGGAGAAGGGACAGGTGTAGCAGTAGAAGAGGAACAGAGGGAGAGAGAAATAAAAGATGGAGGAGCAACATAAGGAAGACAAAGTAAGCAAGAAGGCCTCAAAGACCATATTCACACATGGATCACCTAGAAAGGTCTTTCCACTTTTATGGCTCTTATCAGGATTGGGTGGGCAAGTATGGACCACAGATTGATTGACAGCTTTCTCACTCTTCTGTTAAGTTTTATATTGTTAAAGTCTTATAATGCAGACAAACTGTATGTGTGTCCTAAAGCATGTCAAAGAGTGATCATCCTGTATATAGACTGCTTATCTAACAGGCCACATTCTGGCCTTGTAGGCAGCTAAGTTGGCTATTGATTTTTTCCTATAACCATCCCCTGTGAATTTCATTAACATTCATTTAACATGCTCATGTTATGTGCATGGAGCAAATCAATGCTACTGTAGAAAGAAACTGGAGAAACATTAGTACCGAAGTGGACCAGACAATGGAGGTTTTGAATGTACAGGTTAAGAGCCAATTTATTTTTTATCTGAGGTTTACTTACAGTAAGTGGTTTGGAGCTGTGCTGTGGTGTGGACTTAAAACATACTGGAGCCGTTGCTTTAGCAGATACTGCGGAGGCCTGTGAAGCCCCTTTTTGGACACTGATTAATTCGTGCTACATCTCCTTTTGGTTTGTTGCTGTCAGCTGTTTCAGCGGAGACAGTTGTGGTGCTTTGTGTGTCTGATACTAATTTTCTGATCCTTGAAGGCCTCTACCCTAGACTATATGGAAAGTTTCTGCACAAACTGGCAAACGTGAACAGAGCAGGTATTCATGTTGAGCACACACAGCAGCAGCTGTTTCTACCGATTAGTTCCTCTTTCTCTCGCCTACGGGCAGTTTACGACAGAGAAACCACTGCAGCGAATAGCTGGAATGAGAAATTTCATACACTTGTCACTAAATGTCACATCGCTGGACACCGCTTAGGTTTACAATGGATGATGTAGTAACATTCAAACATTTCCGTCTGTGATGAACGGTATATGATGTGCTCTTTGGACTACTTGTAGAAATCTTCCTTGACCTGGACTCTCAAAACACCCCATTCACTTTCTTTCTCTTATTCACATGTATCATTGTTTGCTTTTTCTATGTCTCTTCTCAGCTCTCCACCTCGCCAAGCAGCCACAGATACAGGACAAGCTGTACACTGCAGGCTTTGATCAGGACAGGTCTGTTTAATGTTAGAAGCAAGGCCTTCCTCCTCTGCATAAGACTTCCCACAGCTTTGTCCTTTCTGAGGCTAAACACCACTTACTGTACATCTCTGGAAGACTAGAGTACACCCTATTTCTATTCTAGTATATTTCAAGGTTGCAGATACTTAGGGTACTAAGTTGTTTTGAATATTGTGTCTCGTTGATCTGCTGCTATAGAAGTATAGTTTTGGGGTTGATTTCTTTTAGGTAAAAAACCATTGCTAACCCCATGTATGCATCATAAACATCAAAGTACTTGCCGACATCATGAATCTCTCTTGCACACATTTTATCTCTCTGTCTCTGATATGGAAGGTCTTGGTAACCTTACGATCACCAGTGTCAGTAAATGAAGCCCTGGCTTTTGCACGCAGAGCATCCAGAGTCAGATTGTAGCGCATCTCTGTGGGACACAACAGATAAGAAAATGTAGTGATAGAAAAAAAATAAATTTTGAAAGAGAGAAAGGAATCGGGCACTGACAGAATCATCAGCATCAATATGGGGTTCCCACCTGTAGCATTGAGTAAGTCCTGTATGTCAGATTTGATGTTGTAGGAGAAGCACACCTTGGCTGTCACACACACAGATTTGCGTCCACCATATTCACACTGGAACTGAGACTGCTGCAGGTTTATTTTAACCGGGTCAAAAGTCATGTTGACATCGAGCTCGGCCACGTCTCTGGACCTGGTAAAATGAAACAAGCCACCTTATCGAAAACATAACCACAAGTAATGTGCCTGAGCACTTGAATTTTACTTAAGCATATTCATATTCTGTTACTTTACATTTCTTTTCAAAAAAGCAAAGAAAAACTAAATATAAATTTGTGCACAAGAACTTTTGTTCTATTTTCCCACACTGTTAATCATCTCACAGTCCCTCAGATTTATCTTGTGATATTTTGGACTAAGACAAACCACTGGAATAAACTACAGTACTGATCTGTGTGCAAAGGTGTAAAACTAGCTCCACCTCAACCAGCTACAGTAGTAACATGATAATTGCACATTCATACATCATCATAAGTACTTTTATTTTTGATGCAGTGTGTGTGTGTGTGTGTGTGTGTTTGTGTGTGCAGGTATTGATTTTCTCAAAGGGAGGAAGATGAAATGGATGCATCTCGAGGATAAAACTTGGCCTCAAGACTAGAACTCTCTCCATCCAACTGTTGAGCTTTCTAAAATGCAGCCATGCGTTCAGGGAGAACAGGCGAATCCTATTTAAACTCTACGCCACTTGGGACATGGAGTTTTCACACAGCTTAGTTGAGCCTCTGCCAGCAGAAACTGTGGGAGAAGGGGAGAAGGTCTGCCTGGGAAGTTAAATCATGGTGAGCGCTGGTGTTTCAAAACTTTGTGGGTTGATGTCTGTAGGCTGGTCTCTAACAGCGAAGTTCGTAGCCAAGGGCTTTAACAGAGAGCTCACTAGGAAGTTGTTAGTCTCCAGCCTACAAGCCCAGTGGGACATGCACAGCTGTCTAAACCCGATTAAGACAATGCAAAACAGACATGTGAAAGGATAGGAGCTCTGAATGTGTAATTTTAGGAGTAAATGTTTATATCTGAGGATGGGCCATGTCTCACCAGAATAGTGAAGCCCCTCCCAGTCCTCCTATGGTAACATCAGTGATTCCATCTCCATTCAGATCCATAACTCCATGTATGGACTGACCAAAGAATTTCACCTTTTCACCATCCCCGCCTGCAGGGATACGCTAAGGAGACACCGCAAAACAGATTAGGGCGCATTGCTCTAAATAAATTGTTACAGATCTTTTTATTAATAGTTCACTAATTGGCACTCATGTTTATTCTTACCTGTACAAATTTCTCTTTCAGTGACGTCTTATCTCCATGGTAGATGTAGACGGCTCCTCGGTGGTCGTTCTCCAAAGGTGCACCGATTGCCACATCATTAAACGCGTCAAGGTTGAGATCTGACACTGCTGCAATGGCTGTTCCAAACCGGGCGCCACATGGTTCATTTTTATTAGTGCATTTGTCTGAGTGGGCAGTGCAACAGGACTGATTGACAGGCTTTAAAGTGAACTCATGCTCAAACTGTCCGACCTAGTAATAAACAAAGACAAAGACATATGGAGAGGGCATCACTGGGTGTATCATCACAAGCTTCTCAATGTGAATTTCTGTAGAAATGTGACACAACCTCCTTTAGAATCTTCTATACCTGGTTGAGTTTATAAACGTAGACTTGTCCCTGCTCGTCTCTTTCCGAGCCCATGTACATTGGAGCGCCAACCAAAAGGAGATCAGTGAAGTTATCATTATCCACATCGACAGTCTGCAGGACGCTGCCGAAGTAGGAGCCAAGCTGCACAGAGGAGTCAGAGATCACCTTTCAACGCTGACCTTTCAGTCACTGAACTTTCCTGAAGAAAAAATCTTTTATCTATATGGTTCTGACCTCTGTATCTCCAAATTTGGACACATTTGGCCACCATAATTGTTTTAGCCTATTTCTGTGCTGCTGTAAGGTAAATTTTCTCTCAGGGATCAGTAAAGTCCTACCTTATAGAGTTAGCTTAGTATATGACAGACTGATGATATATGTCTTCTGTGCAACGGATGTCAGCCTAAACACCAAAGTGACAAAGGCTTACCTGTTCTCCTGTCAGTATCTGTGAGACAACTATATTATTTTCATCCAGACGATAGATAACGACACGGCCTGTGTGGTTGTACCGTGGTGCCCCAGTGATGTACAGCATGCCATCAGGGGTTGATGCTGACTGGACATCATAGCCTGCAGAGAATGCACACACAAGCACATACGGTATTAAATTCAATGTAAACATCACCAGAGATGCATCACGCACTATGTGCACCTCATGACATGACTGAGGAAACCTTACTCTGGCTCTCTTTGTGGGATCTTTTTAAAGCCAATTATTTATGTTGCAGCGCGTGGAAGAAACTATGAGACACTACTGGAAACTGACAGAAAAACACACAACCATGCATGTGTGCATGCTCTCAGACAAGCACACAAAGCCTGCAGACGGACCATTAGGTAGGGGCATGTGCCAACAGCTGAGTTTACAGTACACGAGCCTGGACCTACCAGTGCTCTTTCTAATGACATGTTGATTAAATAAGTTGATAGCCATAAAAGGCAGCAGGACAGAGAGAGGAGTCTGTGTATATTATTTATGTGGCACACAGGGAGAAGCATCTGCTATCAAAGTTAGACAAATTGCATATCTTATTCCTCTGCCCAAGAGAAACTCTATTTACTCTGCAGCTGTATTTCACCTAATCTCTTAAAAGATTTAGCTCAGAGCTCTCTCTTTTTAACACAAACACACTCTCAGACAAAGTTGTTGATGCAAGTGTAAAAAGTGCTCCAAACTCTGTATTAGCTGTGTTTAAGTCACCTTACCAACAGGTACAAGTTTTCTGGTTGGTTCAAATCTTAAGAGCTTCTCTATAACATCAGGTATGAAACTAAGTTAACTGATCCTAAACTGCCTATACCAAGTAAGAACGGATACTTTTATTTACTTCGGTGCTGATTAAATGTGCATTTGACGCACTGAAAAACAAAGAGTCTTTGGCTGAGCACACACAGTGACTTACACTTCAACAAACAAGTTTAATCTTGGCCTGTCATCAAGTAATTTGCACACTTTAATAGAGTTGTGACGTGGGAGGAGCTATTTCAGGCGCCCCGGTTTCAAAATCAAAGTTCCATTCATTTTTTTCCACAGACAAGGTTACATAACTTGGATCAGCATGAAATTCTCCTGGTTGAATCATGACTATAAACAATTTACAGCGGCACTAAACCAGATCTGGTTCTTTGACAAAAATGTATGATGGAGTATTAAGTACGACTCCCAGTGAGCCGCTAATGGTCAGAGGAAGCTAAAGATAGCAGTGCTGAGAAAAACGATTTTACAATCAGCAACTTGAACCAGTTCAATTAGAATTTCTGGGTTGTTTTGCGATTATTTCATAAACTGTGTGACGCTGGCAGTTTTTCCATGGCAACAGCAACCAAGAATCATGGGTACTGTAGTATTTAGAATTGTCTGCTATTCTAAAACGATGAACAAAACCCAACAACAATACTGAAATTAAAACAGGTGATCAGAGAATACGGCAACAGTACAACGTAGGGTTGTTACAGTACATTATCCAGGAGAATCCTGTGGCTCTGTAAAGAGCACTACTGCAACACAAGCAGTCTGAACAGCCAATACCGATCCATTAGAATACACTGAGCCTACGGTTTGGCTCAGGGCATCACTAAATAAAGCAACCCAACTATCCATTAGCAATACCCACTTATCCTCGAAGCTCCCGGTGGAGACTGGAGCCAATTTCATCTGAAAGCATCAAAGCTTAAAATATCTTAAGTTGTCTTTCATTAAGATTTAAGCAGACAAAAACTCAGCTCTCATCTAAACTCTGACTTTTCACTAAACTGTTCTAACTTTGGCAGATCCCCATCACTGACAGTAAGAAGCTGATTGAGGAAAAAAAAAATTTTCAGAACCTTTAATCCATCATGAGTCAACTCACCAATGTACCCAGCCAGTCTTTCATACCCCACCTCAGTCATTGGGTTGAAGAATTGGGTCTTCCCTGGAATGACTGTTCCTTCAGTAGTATGCATTACCACTGTCCCATTCCAGTCATATGCTCCCACTGCTCCCAGTAACAACAAACCTTCCTGTGGGGGACAACAGAAGCATTAGAATCAGCTCTGTTAGTCAGTAGTGCACAAAATAACCTGTCATCTTAGTGCAGTTCAAATACTGTGATGTACTTCTACTTGAATCCTTTACTTCACTAAAAGTACTAATATCACAATGTAAAACTATTACATAGGCAAATTTACTTCAGTAAAAGCACAGAGGTATTATCAACAGAGTACTGCATTATTTTATATATTGTATTATTACAACGTGTAAAAACTTTATCAGGTTGAAATACATGGCATTTTATTTGTTAAGCATAAGTGCAGTGGAGTAAAAAGTAAAATATTTCACTCTGAAATGCAGTGAAGGGAGGTATAACATGGCATGAAATGGAAACGGTAAGTAGAGTACAAATATGACAAAACTGTTCAGTCTTTGAGTAAATGTACTGTACCATTTGCCACTACTACTGAAACAATCAGCCACTTAATTGATTAGCTACTCAACAGAAAACCACATCCACAGGTACAGCATACACAGTGATCAAGGAGGTGATAAACACGAGTCAGGAGCAGGAAGAGAGACTAGATGGAAGCATATTTATTTTTAAATAGACATAGGAAATACCCAGTGAATGAAATCACAACGCGTGTGAAGGGGCAATAGCAAACATGTTGTTTTTTACTGTAGTCAACAAGCAACCGATTGAACCTCCCCTGCCATCTTTCATGCTGTACATAACTTGTGTTTGCCTTTCAGCCTCTTTTTTTCTGTCTCACACACTCTCAGCAGCGCCGTGAGCAGACAGGACAGAGAGCATCTGTGTCTGGAAACTTCTAGAGACCACAGTGAATCACCAAAGGGTTGAAAATGCACCGCTGACAACACTGGTGTAATGTGTCTACAGTTCAATAGCTGAGCAAACATCCATGTCAGTGCATTCACTTGCACGCAACAGCTCCATTAAAAATACTGATGTGTAAACAACGCTTGCACTCTCGGTCTGGTTATGTTATTTTACAGTTAGTCACTGACTCCACTCTAAAAGTATGGTAGTTGTGTATGCATCTAACAAAAATAATTTGATTTAAACTTACTTTAGAAGTATGTGCACTAAAACCAGTTTGAGACATCTCCATCTCAAAGGAGGAGGTGAAATTGCCAGTTGTAGCTGAGAAAAGAAAAGTTTGTTTTAACTACCAATAAATAAACCACAGAAAATAAAAAAAAAATATTATCTCAGTATCACATTACTGATTGAACAAGAGAGTAAAATGTCTTTAAATACTTTGGGTGTATAAACACTAAGATAGGTAAAATGTAAAACTTTGTGATCATATGTTTATAATTGTTTACAGGGATACCTTCCAAAGCAAATATCCTGCTTCCCAAAGCGTCCACAATGGTCAACAGCGCCACCTCATCAGACACGTTGAAGAAATGGTCTCGTAATGGCTGACTGGAGATGGATTCGATCTCTTTAATAAACTTCTGCACTTCGGCTACACTTTTGTTCTGACGATTGTAGTCTCCCAAAACCTGGAAACAATACAATTCTTAAATTATAACATCATCAAGAAACAGAGTAAGTGACAATCTGATTCAAATGACCCAACAGTTCTCCTTATGGTGCAGTATTTGTTATAGAAGCTGTGCTGTGTTCAGTACACCTTTCCTTGATTTAATTTTAATTAACAGAGATGTTGTAAAGAAGTAGAAGTTAAAGAAATTAGTTTAAAAACACACACATAAACACAAAAAAAGCTGAAAACAACATCAAGATCATTTGTACCCACAGCAATGCCAAACCTCTCGATGTCATCATTTTCACAGTCTCCCATGACCTTGTTAAGATTATAGGAGTCATGTGACTCCCCGTCAGTCACAATCACCATGACTTTCTTCACCCCCGGTCGTGCACCACGCTCTGGCATGAAGGCCTCCTTCCTGATTGGAAGAAAGTTTCAAAATTCAATCAAAAGAATTCAACATCTGAAAAAACTGGGCCTTAAATATACGCTCAATTGCCGGTTTATTAGGTACACTTTGCTAAAACTAATGCAATCTAATAGAGCATTCAGATTTTTTAGCCTGCCCATTTATAACAGCACCACAAACCACATCCCACATCCTGCTTTATAATTGTCATGACAGGAAGATTTATCACAGGCCTGACAAACTGGCAACTGAGTGTATATCTTAGCTACTTCACTTTCATGTGACTGGTGGGAGGTTTGCGCCATGATCAATCTGAAACCCGTACAAATAATCCTGGAGTCAAATCAAGTGAGATTCTTTAGACCGATATTTTTACCTAAAATTGCTTGTAATGAACTGTGTGGCCAGTCACTGTGCATCATCAGGACAAGCACAGTTAAAGATCTATGGCTAAAGCAGTAAGTATAAAGTGATAGCAGTGATATAAACTGTTAAGTAGATACTGGAGTCACAACAAAAAGCTGAATGTAACTACACATCCAAAAACAATTGAGGCAAACAAATATGAAATGGATGGATTAACTTGTTTGGGGGTCCCTGGACAAAAATGTGCCACTGCTGACCCCCTGGACAGCCTTCTCCAAGTTCCTATTAATTACACTGAACACAGCTGGAGAACAAACAGTTGGTCCCAAGGGTTCTGTTAGTCAGCTGATTGAGCACAGCTTTATTTGGAAATATGAACCATGTGAAAACAATATAACCTCAATTGGTAAACATCTTAAAACTAGATTTTGTCACAGATCTCTGCAAAAGACAGGACCACATCATTAGCTAACAATGAAGGACTCACCTTAGATTATATTATTTATTTAATTCATCAGATTTCCAGCTTCCACTGGAGCCACAACCTTTTAGTCTTTGGGGTAGCACTCCCCAAGACCTGTAGATGGACCTTGATTTGTAAAATCAGTTCCCGTTTAAGTTCATCTTTTGCTACAAGATTTAAGTTTGGGAAACATTTCATACACCTGACCAGATATGTGAAAGACCAATAAGGGAACTTGGGAATAACTTAGGAAAAATATGACCAAAGACATCTCAGTGAGATGTGTTTGACCAGCAGGAAGGTTTCTTGTTGATGAAGGAGCCTTTCTGAGTCTGGTGTTCAGCCTACTTGAGATGACACTGTCCCACTGAAGTGCCTGTTAAATGTTGCCAGACCATAATGACTTAATGAAAAATTTTAGCCTGCCATTGCTACGCTGGCCAAAGTGAAGGGGAAGAACTAATGTTGCGTACCTGGCAGTATCAATGCCCAGGAAAGTCATGGTCTTGAAGCCGGTCTGCTGAGGAAGCTTGTCAATGAACTTCAGCAGATCAGGAGTGTTGTCAAACTGGCTCAAGTTGACACGATGAGTCACGGTCTCACCATAGGACACTATTCCCACCTGCAACACACAGACAAACACTCACACACTTTCTCTCCTTGTGTGCCCTTTCTCCTCTGCTGTCCCCTCCCACAGTCTACAGAGGATGTGGTCGGGTCTGGCGGGGATGATATGACACAATGCTCTTTATACAGCAGGCAGAAGCCTTCAGTAGCCATGGAAGATGTGACTTACAACCACTGGGCTCTGCAGTGAGAGGACTTTCCAGTGCTTCCCTTTGGAAAACTCCACAAGCTGCAGCCCATGTTAGTGTAACCATAATAAAACTAACCACCCATTTGCAAAATGATCCAAGACAAGTAGACAGAAATAAACTCAGGGCACAACTTTGTAAGACAGAGGCAAAATTACTTTAAAGAATAAAGTCTTCAGTTCAAAGTTTGCTTTATGTAGGACACCTCACAGTTGTTTTTAATGTTGGCACCATGTGGAAAATTCCATAATGAAGGGCACTTAAGGCATCAAATATAACATAATATGAAATATTGAGTTGGCAGCAAATAATATATTCCCTCATTCATGCTTTCTCATTTATCCATGTACTTTTCCACCCATGTCTGATTCCACACCCTGATGTTCAACCCATATGTTTAAGACGAAAGGAGTCATTTCATTTAGTCATGCAACTGACCTGTGAGAGTTTTGGTCCAATCTCAATTTTCTCAATGAAGCGGCGCAGAAAAGTGATGATACTGGACCAGGGGTATATACTGTTAGAGCCATCCAGAACCATCACAATGTCCAGCTCCTTTCCACACTCTAACAAAGCCAGAAATCACAGTTAATTAAAGGGTAACTTTGGTTTTGTTGGTTAGTAAGTACAAGTCTGCTCAAAGCTGAGACTGGCCTCACACGTTATATGTTTATATATTTATATATCTGTTCCAAAGACAGATAGCTGGTCTAACTAAACACATTCAAAGTACTGTTTTCACTTCTAAGAAAGAAACTAGACATAACTAGTTGTACTATATGTAACACTTTCAGGACTCTTCTGGTTTAATTGTGCCTGCAAGTGACATACTTGCTCCAGGTCAAAATATAATGATGTAGAGCAGTGGTTCCCAACCTGAGGGTCAGGACCCCCCACAAGAGGTCACAAGTTAAATCTGAAGGGTTGTGAGATTAATAACAGGGTCAGAAAGAAGAAAAATGTTTATGAATTATGTTCTCAAAATTAGCTTTTTCTTTACCAGATCACTATAGGCAGCAAAGGTCCTTTAAAAACTGCTCAAACAAAACAAGAAGGTCACAATTTCTAGTTGCTCATATAGTCACAAATAGTCAGTGCTCTGTTTTAAGGGGTCACAAGCCAAAAAACTGGGAATCCCTAATGCAGAGGATAATAATACAAGGTTTAAAAGTACATTATATTGCATTTCACATTAGGAGAAAAGTGAAGTTGCATTTCTTTACTACTGAGCTCGCAGACATCAAATGACTAGCCTAAGATTTGCAATTAATCACATCTCCAGTATGTAACCTCTGTTTCATCACTGGGATCAGGATCCCTTTTGCAAGCGAGCCCTGAGTTCAGTATTTACCCAAGAAGAAGCTTGAACTAAACAGGCTGGTGAGCAGCGGTTTCAAGTTCAATTTAAAACCCTCAGCTCCATACAAATGTGTAAAAAGTCATCACTTAAGGAAAGAAGACAAAAAAGTAAAACTCTGTAAAAACTACACTCTTATAATCTGTCAGTTCTTACATTTTCTTTCATTCAGAATTAATAAAATTAATTTATGATATAGCATTTGAGACATATTAGTAGTCTCAGTGATTTTAAAGGGTTTTTACTGCCCCGTCAGTCTGTGTTGTTTCTAAGAAAGGAATAACAGAGAAAGTGATGCAGAAAGAATGAGAGAAACAGAAGCAGAGAGATAAAATGCCTGTTTACCCTCTGGTTCTTTCTATTCCGTTTCCTTCCTGGGAAACAGAGAGCAGCCCCAGTCAACTGTCTCCTAACTTGGGCATACAACACAGCAGACGGGCTGGGCCAGAGCGGGATGGGGCCACAGACAAGTTTACATTAAGAAGAATGCTCTAATCATCCTCTGCACTTTGGGAGAGTGAGTTTGATGTCAGGGTTTTGGATGGTACTACTGTGAAGAATAGATTATAATCTTTTATCTTGGACAGGCAATTCGTGCAGATGCGGTCCCATCCTGACCGTCAGATCTGCTTTGTCTTGTTTAGTCAGGGTGCGTACCTTGCACAGATGGTGCTATAGAGTTGAGGATCTGGAAGGAAGAGCTGACATTCGCACAAACTCCTGAGATGTACTGCTGTTGTCCACACATATAGCCATACTGAGGACCACACGCCTGTGGAGACAGGACACACACCCAAACAAACTCAGACTTTAGTTGTCTGAGATGAGGAAACTGGTCAGTTCTTCACCTGCATGAGGTCACTGGTGAGAGGAGGTTCAGGGCTACCGAAGACAGAAGAGGAAAGAACTACTCACTCTAAGGATTACACAGAGACTATAAAAAACCACCACAGATCCTTTCAGAGTGTCCTTCTCCAGAGAGAAAACTAGAAGTGGGAAACAGAGAGATTGAGCCGAAAAGGAAGCAGGGTTTTAAAAATTACCCACAATAACTGGAAAATGTATTAATGTCTAGTAATGCTTTGCCATCATTTTCGTAATGTGTGCTCCACAAACTCAATACTTTAGGAGAAATACTGTTGCACAAGAACAAGACCAGAGTCTACAGTGATGCTAGCAGCTCTGTGAGACTGTGCTGCTTGAAACTAAATACTATGCTAAAATGCTCATGCACCATATTTACAATGTTCACAACTTTATTATAGCTAATTATAATTGAATTCTAGATGAAAATTTAGGGGTTCACCAAAGGGATTATAATATATCCTGACCAAATTCATAAGGGTTTATCCTCTGGGGAACATGAAATTCTATACAAAATTTCATAGCACACCATCTAATAGCTGCTGAGAAAGGATGGCTACACATTTGGATTGGAACCTTCAAACTGCCAGGTTGGTAATTACTGCAGATTGCACTGGCAAGTGCTCATTCATCATGCCTACAAGTCAGCCTCGTTTGAAACTGATGAATGCTTTGTACTGACTCTGAATTACAGTATATAAACACAGACATAAAGTTTCAAAGGTTATGTTAACACTCAAATTAACCACATTTACTGTTGGGGTTGGGGTCAGTAACACCGGCAGCCGTACAGGATCTGCCCTCACTGTCCAACATTAATTTTTGTTCCTCACAATAAGTCCCCTAAAGATACAATATGTTTATAGCCTGCTGTTTCTTTCATTTTCACACCCTGCTAATCTCAATAACAAAGTTTTACTGGAATTCATAACCACAAAACCTAATGCGTCGTTGCCATCTTCTACTTATGTTTCTGCATTTATACACCTGATTTACAGGGTCACTGAGAGAAAGGAGGTTAAACCCACTGTTACCATATAGCCCATAGGTCTAGCAAATCTGCTGCTCAGCTTCGAGTTCAAAAATATACAAACTCCAGTTCTTCTTCTGTGTTTGAAAATTCACTATAGCACACTTTTGTATAGTATAAAGAGCAGCTCCCCCCTTACCAGAAATCCTCCGCTGGGATTGGTTACCAGTGTGGTTCCCATGGTCATGTTCTCCTTGACTTCATGTAAGTTGGGAACTGTTGTGTTTCCTAAGGAAAATATGGATGAATAAACAGAGTGAGACACACAAAGTGGCGCACAGAGGAAGAACAGCTGGACAAATTCCTCTTTTTTTATTTTCCCACAGGAAGACAGCCACTCAAACTTCTGTCTTACTTCCGTCGACAATGAGCAGATCGAATAACCACTGATGTGGTTTCATTATTGTAATATAGCAACCCTCGGTGTGTGGCTTTATTGACATTAATAAAGGATATAAAGTACAGTACAGTGAAGTGCAGTGAAGAAACAAAAATAGAAGAACCAAATCATGAAGCAATCACAACATGTGGCTAAAAGTAGCATGTTATGACAAACTCTTGCTTCAGCTTAAGAATGTCTTGGATCTGAGCTACGTTTTTCCTGAGGGATCCACAAACTCATTCGCATGCCTTTTTAATGTCAAACTGAGCTATTTACTAATACCCACAGGAGCATTTTGACAAACCATTTCTGACATTCATTAGCAGCCAGTTATGACTCTGATATATGCTCTCTTCCAAACAGATATGCAGCCCAACAGGTAGCAGTTAATAGTGTGGCTCTGTGACCATTAAAGACTCGAGTTTAACCAGTTTTTTCATCTCTGGTCTCTCTCTCTCTCTCTCTCTGCTTTCTCCTTATCCTTCCTCCACATATCCTTCCTCTATTTCCTGCCCTCAAGCTCACAAGAAACCACTGAAGAAGAGACGTTTCAGCTCTTTGTGACTCCCTTCTGACTTCAGAGCTAAAGCAGCTCTCTATTACTCAGACACTTTTTATTTGATGCCCAGTCATCTCTCATTCACCACAATAAACAAACTGAAAGAAAGTTGGTTTATGAAATTCTTCCTTGATGTTCTTAACTTAATCTGATAAAAATGAGCAGACAGAGCTCTTACATCTCATGATATGCCTGCATGGGACTGAAGGCGGCTTTGTGGAGCTGCAGAGAAGAATACCTGCTTTGTCCTCAGTGAACTGTGACTCCAGATAACTATCAGAACAATTAACAGTTATCACACAATCCCTCTTGGTCTGCAGTGACTTCTTGAAAATCAAAGGAGACTTCTGTTGTAATACATTAGTGTTTGTAGATATGTCTTTTTTAACGGAGACGTTTCATGTAAATATAACCAGAGTGGAATCGAGTCACTAATGCATAATGTACATGCATAAAATTCTATTCAGTTTGATCATTTACAAAATCAGTATATTAAACAGACCAAACGCACCAGACTGCTGCAGTAAGTAGTTTTCCAGCTTGGAAGAGTGGAGTCTGAGTTTGCAGTTCTGCAGCCAACAGACTGTGTTGCTTGTCGTTTACATTCAATATTTCAAAGACAATTGAACATACTGCAACTCAAGAACTGTGGATGGTAGACCTTCTTGTCAGTATTTCCTAACCTATAATAGTCCTGACATAACCACATTTCATCAGTCAGCACGAACGGTAAATAAAAATTTAAAACACAACAACCACACAAATTTTACTTTGCTCATTATGCTTTGTTACGTCTTTCTGCAGTGGAAAAGTGTAAACTTAGTGTGGAGACAGATCTAGCGATGTGAGACAAGGGTGTCATCAGTGGGCATTGACTGAAATTGGGATCAGAATTATGGCTGGTTGATAAGTGTTTTCAGTCAGTGACACACCAGCATGAATCCTTCCTGATGGGCTGTCCTGGGTTTGACTCATGTTTCCTCAGGGTTGCTCAAGAATTTATCAATTAAAACATACAAGAAATTGGTTTCATTAGGTCAGAGAGCTGCTAAATCATGCTTAGTTTTACTTTAAATTCAAAATTCAGTACTGTTATTGTTGTCCTCATGTAAACCCTTCCCAGTGACCTTTGTGTGTGCAATCAATACCTGTTGACCTACTTCTGAATTTCCCAAAATATACAATAAGATATCTGGATCAGATACTATTTAGCTAGTAAAATATCAGCATACAAGTGCTGCTACCAAGCCTATAGTGATAAACTGCTAGCAACATTAGCCTTATAGCTAAGAAAGCAACGTTTTGCACTGCACCCCCTGGGAATTCCTGCTTAAGTTTCTGTGCTGACCAGAATGAAATGAGCAGCACAAGACCCTTATTTTCCACTATAATGTGAGCACACCTTAATTCCAGATTCTGAGGTGTGAAAAATATTCATCCCTGAGCTGAGAGTTTGTGTGCAGACCCTCTGCACACACCAACTCCCAGCTCCCCTGTGTCATCACAGACAAACACTAAAAGAGACTTTGCAGACTGCTTGCTAGGAGATAAGTTGTGTTTATCTGTTTAATTAAGATATAATTGGAAGGACTGAACATTAAAACCTTGTTTGTTTACTGTTCGGATGGGCCTCATTTCCTCTCTATGAGACCCAGTCATAGATACAATAGACTCAAACATACAGTAGCGTACAGCAGAACACCACCACTACATAGATAGAAAGTGTATTCATGTATATTTTCATGCACACATACTTCCCCACTCAAATAAAATACAGTTTTGTTCCCCTCAGTTTTATTAAGGTTGAATTACTCACAGAAGTCTTTGTAAACAGTAGGCCTACCCTCTGACTGTGCAGTCAACAGCACTGAGATAAGACAGTAGCTGATAAAAACTACAACTAAACTATTACTACGACAAAAGTACATCTTTGTAGTATAGATGCAAATACTACATTATCTATATTTACTATCTGTATTGTCTATCATAAAGTAAACAGTCTCTATTAATGCAACTCAGCCAAATTATTTTAAATATGACTTCAACTAATGATTATTTCAGTATCACTTAATCTTTAAATGTCTTGTTTAGTCTGACCAAAAGTCCAAATTACAAAGATATTCAAAGGTATTCTGTTAGAACAAAAAGCATCAAATACTCATATTTAGATTCAACAAATATCATCTTTGTTTAAAAAAAAGGATTTAATTACTCAAATTTCGCAATAGTCACAGATTAATTTTTTTGTCATTTGATTAATTGTTGTAGCTCTAATACTGAGTTATTGTTGCAATACCAATACAGAGCTTTTCTAATTATTCTTTTTGTTATGTCAGCCAATGTGTGTATAATTTGTATACACTGCTGTATCTGTGAATGTATAGATTCATGCAGTCACTGTGCTCCACAGTATTCTTACTAGGAAGGTCCAGTTTGACACATGTGTTGTCCTCTTTTCCCACAGGACATTTGTAGACATCTCCTGTCCGCCGAGCTGGCTGGCCCGACAGCGGGGAGCCAATCAGAACCCTGAAAAAATAAAGAACCGTTGGGACGGCTGCATTAAAAATCCTGCCAACAACCACATACCAGCATCACAGTTTTACAGTCACAATAACAAGCATGATTCAATTATTATTGCAGAAATTCATAGTTGGCAGGTTGGAAGGAGTGACTGGGTTTTTTTCTGAGGTCCACAGCAACTTAGCCACGCAGTTTATTATATTTGGCTACACCTGAATCCGTGGCTGTCATTATATATGAACCCTGGTGCTATAGTATGAAACGGAAATAACACTGAAATCCTCACAAAAACACTTAATCATTATTTAATTTCCACCCCATAACATTCTAATATTGCAGTTGTTTGGCGATCAGTGTATTCAACGTGTGCGGTATGTTCAGTGTGTACAACTGCTTGTCTGCGGTAGCTGAGCCTAAACTTAGGAATGATTTACCACTTGAAGTTAGAGCTGTAGCTAAGTCGACTTCATTCTGCACATTGTTGAAAACTTACCTCTTCTTGCAGGCTTTTAATTCAGGTATAGTTTAATAGTTTGAGGTAAACTGAGTATTTACAGTATGTGATGGTGCTTTTGATATTGTTCTTATGTGATGGCATTTTAATTATTTTACACTCTTTGTAACAGTTTCTTTAGAAAAGCACTGTATAAATAAAATTAGCCTGTGTTACATGTTCATGACTGTATTTCGTTTCATAACATCATGTCACTCAGTCAGAAAATTGATGCTAAAAAGAGCCTGTCATCTGCCTTCATGTAAACACTCAGGCTGATTACCATTCCTCGGCTCTAATGAGCCCTGGTCATCTAGAGCAACAGACGGAGTGGAACAACAACACACTCCCATCTCTGTCCCCTGCCTGTGAGGAATGCTGCCACTTTGTTCATTTATTTCTAAAAAAACTAGGGTGAAAACATAGCTGCTTATTCTTTTAATTTAACAGCTAATACCTGCTAATTAAAAGAATATACAGTAATTACCAAATTACTGATAAATTCCACTGAGCTGTGAGTGTACAGTTTGCATGTTAAGAAAGTCATAATGTCGTATTTTAAGACGATTAAAATTTTCTTATCTAAGCTAAAACAAGATCACAAGATTATTAAACTTGTTTCCAGGTAAATGGTCTTGTGTTTTAGTCATGGAAGCAGTGCTGATATAGAAAACCTTCTACCAGGTTGAAATGTGTGGTTTTAAGTGAAATGTCTCGACAACTATTGTTGGGTTTTCATGAAGTTTGGTTCAGATGTTCATGTTCTCCTCTGGATAAATTGTAGCAAATCTGATGATCCCCTGACCTCTCAAATGGCTCCATGAGGAGCTCCATCAGTCTAACAGGATGAACTACTGTTGTAAGGTTGCTACACTAGCTGTTTCCCTATGATTCCACTCTTGATACTAAGCTAAGATAAATGTCTTTTTGGGTGTAGCTTTATATTTAACAGACAGCATTATACAGTATCTTCTCATCTACCTCTCCTCAAAAATGCCAAACTATTCCTTTAAGGTCAGAAAGTGTTTGTAAAGGGTTAATTTTACAGTAGTTTCAAGAAATCAAGTCACTTTGTTTCATCTTTGTCTAATACTAGTAACGTTCTCAAGATTTCTTACTGATCTACCTTCTACAACAATTTGTTTGTAGAAGGAGAGTTTTTGCAGTTGATTCAACAATAACATGGCAATTTTGGTGAGAGGAGACAAAACCTATGGTGATTCAAAGTTACCAGACACTTTAGTGTCCTTTTGAACCATCTGTTCCACATTCAACACATTTTGCAATTGATCCACTCTTCAACACTGCTGCCCTGAAGAGCTAAAGGGTGCATGGGTGCAATGAGGGCCACATATCATCTCTAATTTCCCTGAAACATCCTCAATAAGTCTCTGTCCTTTTTCCCTTTCTTTCAGCTGTTCTTCATATATCATCCCTCTGCTCTCTGACAGCTTTGCACCTGTTGTTTCTCTGGTTCAGCTTCTTTCTTATCACTCAGACCTCTTTTGGCAATACCTTTCTCTGAACTGGAGCAAAGTCTTGCTATCTGGAGATGCTACAAAAGCTACAAAGTGTTTTCAGTGAATGATGTGGAGGCTCAGTCACAGCTGGTTCCACTGACTAGCAGTGACTGAATTACTGTAACTGATCTCACATGAGCTCGATACGATCACTGCAGCAGAACAGCACCAGGTACATGTGGGAAATAATCAGATGCGGTGTTGCAACAGGTTGGAGAGAAACAAACTGAGAATTTAAGACTAGGGTAACTGAAGTAGAGATGTGGAGAAAGACAACGAGAGGAATTAACCACAGTCTAATAGCATTTAACAAGCAAGGAGCCACTGCTACTTAGTTTCACTGTATTTATAGGCTGTTTACGTGGATACTCTGGAGGGCAGTTTATGGTTAACAGCTAATCGTAAAGCCAAGGATCCTCATTACAGCAGCAACAGCTGGTGTGCTCACTTTCACTTAGTTTTACAGGTGAATTCAGTTGTTTTTTTTTTATCTTTTGTTGATGTTGCAGTGTTGTGGTGCTGAATTAACCTGAACTGAATACTTTTGTTCTATAATAAAATCATGTGGACAAAGCAATTCATTATTATTATTAAATGATTTTATTTCTGAGTAATATAGTTATTACAGCCCTTTTAACAAGGCAACTAAATAAGAGCCTTCAATTTTCTTTGTGCATATTTAAGCTTATGCTGCTGCTGCCTTTATGACACTGACAGCATTTAATTCAGACCTTTGCTGTGTTGAAAGTTTTATGGAAATGTTACTGGCAAGACTGTGGTGATGACTTTTATCTAAAAGCAACTCTTGCACATGAGACATTACATTTAAATAGAAGGTGCATGTCTGAAATAAGCGTGTGTTTTAACTAGCTTCTGTGAGATGAGGAGGAAATGTTGTAGGATGTTTGGCTCAGAACATGCATCTAATGCCACTCACCATTTCCCTTCGCTGTTCTCAAACTGCTGGACGGTGTAGCCAAACATGTCCTCCAGTGGACCGCTGAATGACAACCCATTTTTCTGGTCCACGTTGAAGCACAGTGCACATGCCAGCAGCACTGCAGGGACAAGTGGAAAGAAAAGGTTGTACAGAATGTCAAAATAAGATTATCAACCCTTCAGTCTATTGTAACAACAAATAAATAATACAATCCCGAAACATGAGACTTGTATTAATTTTCTCATATAATCAAGCAGAAAGTCAACATTAACAAACACCAGTAAACTAAATACTGAAAAAAATATTCATAATCCAACCCAGAGGAAAAAAAATAAACAGACCTAGCCATAGATTAACCTAATAAATAATAAACATTTTGGTAATTTTGCCACAATATTTATATGATTTTAATGATATCAAACCATTCAGTAATATATGGCGATGGTATACTGAACTGTGCGAACCATATCACACTCACAAACGCACACATACAGAATTTTTCTGGAGTACATTTGAGGAATTTCAAACATCAGTGTGAAGCACTTTGGTCAGAGTCCAGTCTGGCCTGCAGGACAACGGCTTCTTCTCTGCTCCCTGCATCCGTCTGTCACTGAGCTGGGTTTAGCACAGAAGCTCTATATAAATCCATCCCTCTCATTGTGCCTGCACCACAATGACACTCTTTATATCTACTGTTCAGGGAATTCCTTCAACATAATTTATTCAATTCCCGGACTTGTGAGGGAGTACAGAGATGCAGAAGAACAGTGGGATTAAAAAGAAAATGTGCAGACACAGACCACATACATGGAGACACAAATAAAGAGCAGCTATTTGTTCTTTGTTGATGATGGTTTATAGCTAATATGTCTGATCCACAGACAATGAAGAACAACCATAAAGAGTCGGAACTGAAGTGATTATAGATGTTTTGGAGCTCAAGACATAATGATGGCGGTTGTTTGGTCAGTTGGTCCACCAGACTGAAATACACGCAGTTTGCACTTTATTAGATATATCAAGCTAAAACTAATGCAGTCTAATCCAATTTAGCTGGTAATGTGCTTTAACACAGTCTCACAAAGCAACTTGTTTGGCTGTATACTTTTACACTTATTAGGATTTAATTGTAATCAGTTAATTGTTTCAGAAATCAGGGGCATTGACTGACCAACTGTTGTGTGTTAGCAGGAGTCCAATCAATCAGCAATCCCACTGATGCACTATAACTACAGTAAATTTACACCTCTGTAAAATTCAATAATTAAATTAATCATATGTTTTAATTAAAACATAATTTTTTTTATTTATCATAACTGAACACCAAAAAATGGTCTTTAATTATCCCACTAATAAACTCATACAATCAGATCTATGCTGCTAAAATCATGATCCAGTGAATATGGGCATGTTTACAGGACATGCAATACAAGCAGAGGTCAGCACATTTCAAGATGGCCCAAATGCATGGATTATTGTCAGGTTTGCTCGGCCGCTCTGGCCTCCCTCACCTTTCCTTTTCCTACTGTCTCTTGCCCATTAACACTAATCACGTTCACCTGTTCCTCACTCCCTTATCACCAGCTGCACTTGATTAGGTCGCTCACTATATTACCCGGTTTCACTCCTCAGTCACTTGCCAGTTCATTCTTGTCTCTAGGCCATTTTTCTCTGTGCTCTGTTTTTTCTCTGTGCTCCCAGCTACTGTTTTGTGTTCCCCCCCATGGACTGTTCCTCCGGACCGTGGCTCCACTCTCCCCTCCCAGGCAGGTCAATGCTCAGTCGCCTATCTGTTCTACTATTGCCTTCATCTCTCTGTCTCTACCTTCAGTAGCCACCATCACCACCGACCAGCCCAGGAGTGACCCAGCCTACGCAGCTCAGCCCAGCTCTCCATCTCCTCACCTCCTGCTGTTGGTCAAACACCCGGCTACTACTCATCGACAGGACTACGCACTATTTCCCTCTGTGTATTCTTACCCTCATCATCACTGTACATAATAAAATCACTGCTTGCATCGAAGTCGGCTACCTGGGTCCACCTCTTTCTCATTCGCTCACTGACAGGTGCGAACGGCACATAACAATTATATGCCGTTAGGTCAGTTTCAGCCCCTCTCATTGCCCTCCTCTAAACAGAGGAATTAAAAAACATACTGCTGCTGGTCATCATCCACTGATGTTTACTTGTTGAGCTCATAGATTTCATACAAGATTACACTTTTTACAGAAAGAGAGAGAGAGAACTAGCCCTGCTGATTCATAAACTGGAATCCTAGCCAAGAAATACAATCCCCCTGTGTTTCTGTTTCCTCTGTTACCCCCTCACCAGCTCTCAGAGAAGCTCCATTTCCTGTTCCTATTAACATGATTATAGGCATCCCCACAAATCCACAGGTACACACATTCACAGAACACACAGCTAATGTAGCTCATTTAAGATGGCTTCAGGTCAATGAGGGCTTTTCCATTTATCACAGTCTGAACTCAAGTGCAGGTCACAGTCAAGCTGGTCTGTCTGTTGGCAGCCATGTCTTTTGCCTACAGCCATCTCAAATTGCAGTGTTTGGTGTCTTTTGTCTCTGCTCTGCTCAAATCAAAACTGGTCTAACATCTCCCCTGGAAATCCCACAGGTAAAGTTGTCCCTGTGTGAATGGAAATTGCCACATGAACCTCTGAGCATATCCAGCTGTACATCACTGTCTAAAGGGTCCATATTATACTCTAGTACACATAATAAGCAGAGCAGAAGGCTCTGGGTCAGTCCACCACCTTGGCCCAAACAGAAATGGCTCAGCTATTAGATGGATTGCCATTAATATCTTATAGACATTCACGGTCAAGACAAGACAAGAGGGATTATTAAATTGTGTGTGTAAAAGTGTGTAGTGTGGGTGTATCCAACTCTATGCAGCCTGATATTCAGTACATATTAAAGAAAAATAAAATTAAACCAAATAAATTAAGAAATTTGGGGGGGTAAATATATTAAAAAAAGGGAGGGGTGTTAAATCAACAAAGGACCAGGAGTGTACTGGTGACGCCCCCACCCCAAACCACCAGCACCAGGTGAAGCCACCACTTGGTGAGCTCCGGAGCAGCTCAGCAGGGTGAGCTCGTCCAGGGCAGCAGGACAGCAGCATCCTTGTGTTATGGTTAAATTAAACCTTTCCTTTGTTTTACTGTTCATCATTGTTTATGTTAATAGTTGATTGTTGGGACTGAAACAGGTTGGTGTCGGCCCCTGACCTTGACAGGAGAGACCCGACCCAATGTGAGGTGTGTTCCCCTCCTAGACAGCCCCCAGACCCTGAGGAGGGAGCTTGTTTAAGAGGGGGTCAGCAGTCTAGTAATGTTATATGCAGTTAAGGGAAAGGAAACAGTGACCCGGCCTTCCTCCCCTATGCTGTGCCCCCCAGAGAAACCCCCAGCTGCTGGGGACGGGGCGGTAAAACAAAAATAAATGAACAAATCTGTAAATGATTAGAAAGAGAGAGGAAATGGAAAAAGAAATTTAAAAAGGAGGGGGTAGGTTATATTCTTGTTAATCTGGTTTGATCGATAGGTGTGACATACTCAAAGCAGCAGCATGGACAATGAGGACTAATAACAACAGTAACAATAATGAAATAAAAAAGCAGCTTGCTATATTTCTAGGAGTTTGTGGGAACGTGCGTGGCCTCGGCCCAAGGTATCTGGTTTAAGTTAAAAGAGATTAGAAATGGATTCCAAGTGTCAGTAAAAGTTGACATATTATTCTTATGGGTGGATGATATTTTCTCTAGTGTGATGTGTTCTATGAGAAGGTTGGTCCAGTGTTGATGTGTAATGAGTTTTTAGATTTCTAGTTTAGAAAGATTGTCTTCTTGGTGACAGTTAGAGAGAAAAGAAGTGGGATTTTTTTTTATTTAACTGGTAGAAGTCGACTTCTGTGATATTACCGAGCAGGCAGAGTGATGGAGATGGATGGATTCTACAGATCAAGATGGTGGAGAGTTTCTATGTCACCGCTACCCAGAGGGAGTAAACAGGTTGACAGGACCAGGTAGCATGGAAGTAATCAACGGTGCAACCCAGAGTGCATTGTGAATAAGTATCTGTATCAGTAAAACCCATTTTAAACATTTTACCCTTTGTGATGAGTCCTGTGAATAGTCTTATATTGTATAAGCTGTAAGTTTATAATAGAGAAGACATTATTACAGATCTTGGTCCAAAAGTTAAAGCTGGTGTGAGCGACAAATCCTTTTCCCTGTCAGGGTTGGCCAGTAAAGCTGCCAACATAGTTATTGGCATACTCAATTATAATGCCAGATGAAGGTGAGTCACTAGTTCTCTTTTATTACTCACAGTAAGGGCAGACACTGCAATAGTCCAAAAAACACACTCAAAGTCCAATAACAGTCCAGGTTCAATGCCGGCAAACACACACAGCCAAGAAATCCAAAAACGGGAGGTCAGAGAGGGAAGTCTGAAGGTCAGGACACATAAACACAATCAGAACCAGGAGGGCAAGGCGGTAATCAGTGGTCAAGGCAATCCAGGGTCAATAAACAGCAATCACACGAAACAAGAAGAAATGCTGGAAAGTCTGCACAGAGTCAAGAACAATCCGTCCTGGTGGGAGGACGCTGCCTAAATAGGGGTGAAATAGGTGAAATAGGTGAAATAGGTGTAGGCAATGAGCACTGATTACAGTAAAGAGTCCATAGCTGAGATGAAACTAGAACAGGAAGTGGTGACAAAATAAGAGCCTGAAACCAGAAGCAGCAGGACAGAACCATGACATTTCCCATTTAGCCATTGGATTGTTATTGTTCTATCTGTATTTGACATTAGTTTGTAAAGTTTAGATATTATCTTCTGACTGTTCAAACAAAAAGTCCAGTGCATTTTTTTAGGGATTGGTAACAAAACCCTCTCATCCAACAGAAGGTATTCCAGCTGTTTTTCAGTTATCTGTCTCACACCAGTCTGATAAACCACATATGCTCAATTCAGCTGTCTGCACTTGGACTATACATGTTTTTACATTTCATATCAATTTTCCTTGATTTTATGCATGTGTTTACTGTCACTGAGCTCTGAACACTAGCAAAACACAGATGACCAGCAGC